ATGAAAAATAGCACAAATATCATAAGGTATATTATTTTATTACTACTGTTTATTTTTACTATTTTATTGTTATTTCCTGTTGTGGTTATTGACAAGAATGATTTACTGATTGCCAGTACAGAATGACCCATTCAAACTATGTCATAGGTTTCACTCAGACTGAACAACCTCACGGATATGCATTCTTGCTTTGGATGGAGCTGGGGTAGGAAAAGGTGAACAGAGTTAACAGTGTTGCATTCAGTTACGCAGCCTTAAAGAAACAAAGACCTGTTTCCACCAAAGAAGGCTTTAAAATGCTCCGCAGTACGTCTAGGTCCCATTAGAGCATCACTTACCTAGCCAGGCTTCCCTGGTAGCTCAGCTGGTAAAGAATTCACCTGCAATGAGGGAGACCTGGGTTCCATCCCTGGGTTGGGAAGATCCCCTGGAGAAGGAAATGGCTGCCCACTCCAATATTCTGGCCTGGAGAATACCATGGACTGTATAGTCCGTGGGGTCACAGAGTCATACACAACTGAGTGACTTTCATTTTCTTTAACTTTATCTAGCCAAGGATCCAAAAAAAGGAACCATAAGCTTCAGTTAAGCAGTGGTTCTCAGACTTACGCATCCATCAGAATAATTTGGAAAACTTGTTTAAATAGATTGTTGTGCTTCATCCCTAGAGTTTTAGGTACTTTAGTCCTGGTAAAGCCCACATTTTCATTTCTAGTAAGTTCCCACATGATACTGATGATGATGGTTCAAGGACTACACTGTGAGAACCATTGAGTTCACTGATACAGTTGAGGTATAAGTAACCCGACTCCAGAGTGGGAATATTTGCAGAAATATTTTCACTACAGTGAATTGCCTGGTAACTCCCATGAAAATGAGGGCTTCCTGTTTTCAACCCCAGTGTTTTCAACACTGCATTGTCCTCTTCTTACTTTATAAATTTATTGGTAGGAAAAATGATTTGATGAAGTTGTTTTTAACTTTTATGAGCCTGATAAAATCTATTGAAACTTTCTCCAGAAAAACCCAAATACACATACACAGAGCATTGATGTAATTTCAGGCGGTTCTCAGGTACCTCTCCCACACAGCCCACCTACCAACCCATAAGAGTATCAGTAGAAAAACTGTCCCCTTAAGGCAAAGTCTTGGGTTCACTTGGATGTAACAAAAAGTTTCTTCTTATACTTGGATTTGCACTGAAGTTCTTCTTATACTTCTTCACTCATTTGTAAAATAAAAGTAAAAATAATAGTCCTTAGCTCAGAGTGATTAATTGATATAGCACACTGAAGAGGCTAATTTGAAAACCAAAACCACTAAATATTACCTTTTGCCCTCTCTTTCTAGTCCTGCTACAACAATCCTCATTCTTGAGGCAAGTGGATGCCTCTCCCCACTAGGGGAAAGATCAGGAAGTATAAGAAAGAAGAGCCCAAAGAGTAATATTTCAAGACTTTACTCTATGCTCATTGCATTCTTTTGCTAAAATCTGGTCACAGGTTGCCATATCATGGTTCTCTCCATGAGTCACTGAGTCATGGGGTCTGGCAAGCCCAGGCCTGGCTCCGTGACCTGAGAGTCTCAATTCATTTGCCTGGAAATACTCCACTTTGCAAATGTCCAATGCCTTGTCATGTCCCCATGTTAATGTTTCCTGGCAGAAAGACAGAAACATGAAGTCCTAGTAGGAGCTCACTTCCAGGGTAGAAGATACCGAGCTTTGAGAAATAGTGATTAAGAGGAAAGCCTGATCCTCACCTTTCCTACAAAAAAAAAATAATAATAATAATAATAAGTGCAGTGATAAGCTAATCAGCAGACATTTGTTTAGCACTTACTGTGCACACTTTGCAATAGATGACACAAAGAGGAGTAATATATGCTCCTCAGCATACATGCTGTGTCAGCTCACAGTCCAACAGGGAAGGTGGATTTGAGCAAAAACAAACCAGACACAAAGAGAAGTGTAGCAAGAACAATGATCGCAACAGTGCTTCAGGAGCACAGGAGAGGGAGAAGTCAGTTTCAATGGTGATCCATAGAGGTCTCTCGGGCAAGCTGGGATTTAAACTGGACTGTAAAGAGTGGGGCTGCTGTCCATGAAGATGATAGTGAATGGTATTCTAGGCTGTGTGAGTTGTTTGAAAAAAGATGTGGAGTTAGAAAAGTATTTGGTAGAAAATTTGCATGATTATAATTATGATTTAACCAACCTGACTATAGTATGGGTTGGGCATAGAGGTGTAGAATTTGAGGCTCGAAAGGTTGTTGGAAGCATATCATGGGAAAGAAAGCAAAGGCCAACAAGGAGTTTTGACCTTACTCTGGAGTGGGGAAGGGTTGAGGGCCTTTGAGTAGGGAGGCAGATCTGTTTTTATAAAAAGAGAACCCTGGTGCCACTGCGAAGAACAGGTGACAGAGGCAAGACCTAGAAAGTCACAGGCGTGAGCCAAAGCCAGAGAAGTGAGAGCAGCCAGAGGGGATGAAGGGGAGGGACATTTGAGGGGCTGCATTCATCCAAGGATGGCTGCGACATGCAGCAAATAAAGCAGAGGGAGCTGGCCAGGCTCTCCTTGGCGCACCTAATTCCCAGCCAGGTTGCTCCCTTTTGCAGACCATAGGCTCAGAGGAAGAGGCTGAGAGGGGCCCAGAGGCATTTGGTGAGGGGCACCTCTTGGCTATCCCCAAAGACTTTTCTCCTCCCTAGAATGTCCAGAGGGGTAGCAATTGGCCATCTGCTTTGCCCGTGTGGAATATCAATCAAAATCAATGGTTCTCAGATATGGGCCCTCTGTCTGGCCAGGTGAGAAGTCCTAAAGTTCTTTTAAGTCAACTTTCAGGCACTTTCCCAGGTGATTCTGATCTGGGAATCTAAGGTGGGTATGAGGTAGGGCTGTGCATCCATATTTTGTAAAGCTCCCAGGTGACTGATGCACAGATGAATTTGGGAACTAGTATGGGACCTTACTGCTGAGCTGAGAAATGTGTAGAAACCATGGGTTCAATGTAAGCTTGTGCTAGTGAACACTATGATGGCTTGAAGACCTTAGTATTTGGTCCCTGACACTGTCTCAAACATAATGACCCTCGTTGAGTGTCTTAGCCACCCCTCTCTCCTCAACTCCAATCCTCAGCAAACACATCAGGAGTGGGGCAGAGCTGTGTGCTTGACAGGATCCCCTGAATGCCCCCAAAGGTCTGTGTGCATACAAGTCATCACTTTCACCCTTGTCCTTGGCCATGTCACAGGAGCACCATGAGGGTCTCACTGCAGGTGTTTTGAGACTTTAGAAAACAGGCTACATAAAAATACTATCCATTTTCTGCCAGGCTCATACAATATTCATAGCACTTTTATTAGTGTTGTTTTTATTTTTCAGAGAAACCTTACAGTACAAGAGTAGGGTAGGTGTTAAACATGTCCCTTCTGTCTGCTGGGCTCCATGGGATGCAGTGGCCAGTGCATAGTCAGACACCCAGAACTGGCCCTGAATCCACCACCCTCCTGAGCTCCAGTTTTGCTCCTGTGCCAGCATGGAGGAGGGTAACATAAAGGCATTTTTCTCTCCTTGTAAAAGAGAAGAAAATGGGGGAGGGGGAATTATTTAAACACACCTCACTCATACTGCAATCACAGCATTGTTTTTCCTGTTGAAACACCCTGTTGGTTTTTAAATCCCTTTAAACCTACTCGGCACCTGTATGGCCCAGATCCAAGAATTATTATCGAACCCCTCGCTTTTTATATTTAAACACGTAGGAGTTTCTGTGATGGTATCTGGCTCTTGGTTTCATTGAAAATTTCAGAGTTTCCAGAATTTTTCTTCTTGCATCAAAGTTAGAAGCATGCAATTCTAAGACCTGATTTTTTTTTTTTAATTAAGCAGAGAATGGTTCCCCCCTTAAGTTCTCCTGCTAGATAAAATAGCATCATGGCATGACCCGGTGGTGTTCCTCTCTGAAGACCTTTCTGAAGTACTAACCAAAAGAGAGGGCAGGGGGAGGATGGGGGAGGTCTCTGTCAGCAACTTACGGTGTGTGAGATGAACTTTCTTTTGGGTAAGGACTGAGGTTGAGAGCAAAATGAGAACTTCCCGGCAAATTCATTATAACACAGTATAATGTGAGCTCGCTGGGCACAAAAAGAGGCTGAAGGAAAGCAACTTCAACATCAGACCTAATTAAATACTTTGATGTCAGAAAGCAGAGCAGGCAGGGGTGGAAAATCAAATCAGACCAAAATGAAGGACCTAAATTCAAATGGAAAGAAGAAATATTTCTCCCTCTCTCTTTCTCTTCTTTTCTTCCTTTGCCATGAAGGAAGAATATGATTGAGGAACAATGGGCTATAAATTCTTCAGCCAATTAGTCCAGTGACTTACTACTGTTTCTAGTGCACAGAATGTCACAGGCTATTTTGCAGCCTCCCCAAGTTGGTTTGTTAATAACAGGAAGCTAGCACTTCTCAGTACAGTGGATCAGCTACACGTGAAAATAAATGCAAAAAACCTGGAGGGGAATAGCAGCAGACCGAGAGTAGCCTTGATTTAATTTAACATTTGGGGGTCCACACACAAATGAGCATTTTAGTAGGCTTCATGGTGGAAGTTGCTGTCATTTGTAAAATATTCTGGCCAATTAGCTAATAGTGTGCTTGGATTTCTCCTGTTTTGATACAGTAATACTAAGTACATTGTGAAGCCCAATTATACAAATCATCCCCATATGCCATACCAGTCTTTCTTTATGAACTGTGTTTATAAATCCTGTGTGAGGAAATGTGTACTTCAGCAATTTAGACCATGTGTAAAAACATAGCCAATGGGATTGTCAAGAAAACAAGTTCCAGCCTAGGAAATCCTAATGTGTTCCGCTGGAATAACAGGAGGGTGCCAGGCAGCGCAATGCTCTGCTTAAATACATATTGCTTTATCGTGTTTAACCGATTTAGGGGCTTCCGCTTCCCTTGCTGTTATTTTATTCTTCTTTTCTTTTAGGATCCAACCTTGGAGTTTTTGAGAAAATTTGGGATTGGTCTTCTCTCAGGCACAATAGCCTCAGTCATTAACATCCCTTTTGATGTTGCCAAAAGTCGGATTCAAGGGCCTCAGCCAGTTCCTGGAGAGATCAAGTACAGAACCTGTTTTAAAACAATGGCCACGGTCTATCAGGAAGAAGGGTAACACACTCCTATTTTAATAAATGAGCAAGACTAAAGCATTGCTAAAGCCGTATTATACTTCTATTTTGATGAGGGCCATTAAGCCCTCCTCCATTGGGTCTGTGTCTGAGAAGCTTCAGGGAATAGATCAGGAACTTTGTGAGATAACACAGGAATGAGATGTTGCCAAAAACCTTCTTACACCAAGAAACATGAGCCACGATCATTCAGTATGCAGTATGTTTGTCCGAGAATGCCAAGGTGAACTTTCCGCTTGACAGTTTGCATAATACGCTATTACATATAATATGCCTTGTTCCCACATGGGCAGGAGAGCGAGTGTCCTCTGACTATAAACCTAATCAAAATGTCACCTAATTATATTCTCCTGGGAGAGTTAAACATGATAGTTCTGTGAAAGTAGTTTCCTTTTAAAGTATGTGCCTTTTTCTGCTGGTCTTTTTTACTTTTTTAAGTCTTGTATTTGTCTTTCTGCCCCTCCTCACCAGGTCTCATTCTCAAGTAGGCAAGTAATGTTTTACGATTTTGATCTAAACTGCATCATATTTCTTTTTGTGAAGACTAAGTCTTTTAAACTCAATTACAAGAGTCATTTTGTCCATACACACAGCTGTCTTAAAAGTAAGGCCTATCTTGAACACAAAAACTATCTCGCTGATGAAAGTCCTATTTCTGATGGGACAAGATCAGCATAGCTTGAGTAAAAAGAATTAACTCTTTCCTCTCATCCAATTTGCTGCAGGGAATACTTGGCCAGATACTATCTGTTTGGGGATTTGAAAATTTTTTTCAAATGACTTGTTTGGGTAAATACTGGGTCAACATCTCTATAAAGCTGAGGTGCAAATCCATTGCATGTTCAGAATAAGAATGTTTGTGCTCTTTCTCTCCCGGTTCTAGCATTTTAGCTTTGTATAAAGGCCTGCTTCCCAAGATTATGAGGCTCGGACCAGGTAATTATGTTTTCATTACTTATATCCTTCCTACTTTATTGTTCTAGTATCGTTCTTGTTCTTATTTGTGTCTATCGGAGAAGGCAATGGCACCCCACTCCAGTACTCTTGCCTGGAAAATCCCATGGACGGAGGAGCCTGGTAGGCTGCAGTCCATGGGGTCGTGAAGAGTCAGACATGACTGAGCGACTTCACTTTCACTTTTCATTTTTTTGCATTGGAGAAGGAAATGGCAACCCACTCCAGTGTTCTTGCCTGGAGAATCCCAGGGATGGGGTCGCACAGAGTCAGACACAACTGAAGTGACTTAGCAGTAGCAGCAGTAACACAATAAAAGTTGGTCACACTGTGAAACATGGAAACCTTAAGAATAAAAAGTTGGGTAGCAGTAAGACACTAAGGGAGTCCATTAGATGTGTTGTACTTTTGTTTATAAAGTATTATTTACGGCCTTGCTAGCGGCTGATAGAAGCCAAAGCCCAGCTTAAGTCAATAGGAAAGGATCCACAGTCAGTTGGAGTTTGAGTGGCTTCTGGCTAAAGGGGAGGATTTTCACTGAGTAAGGGACCAGCCCAATAAACCTCTCTCTGGTTCTAGTTTGTTCTTGCTCCTGCCTCAACTTCGCTTGACAGAGAGAAAAGCAGGAGGACTACTCCATGAACAGCCGGCCATATCTCTGCACAGTCACCTCTGGGGAGGGGAGCAGGGAAGCTGCAGCCTGGCTCTCGCCTTCCTGGCTCCTGTCAGCGTGATGGCGGAGGGGATTGGCTCGGGGCCTTACCTCAGGATGCCAGCCCACAAAAAGCCGGCTGCCATTCCCACAGGGAGAGTCAGCTGCCTCTATGTAAATAGATAAGAAAGCAACTGCTGCAGACTCTACCACCTGGGCAAATAGTCTTGGATTATAAGCAACCTTGTGAATAAGTATAGAAGTATGCACTAGACCACACAGATTTTTTTACCAGGCCACACTCACCTACTTAGACATCCTGGTAATCTTCCCCCAAACCTTCCCCTGCTCCTTCCCCCTCTCCCTTTCCCCTTCCGTCCTCCCTTTGAGCACCCCATGTGTCCCTTCCCTGCCACACTCACACACGTGCATATTTACGTTTAAATCTCAGCCTTTCTGCCAACCTGAGACATAGAACAGCAGTCTGTAAATTGAAGCTGTTGAACAGTTCATACTTTCATATATTTAGAAAACACTTTTACAATTCCCAGTCCATCTATCCCAGACTTCCTAGGCATTTAAGCATGGATTTTTGCTTCACATTTGAGATTCAGACCTCTTACTGGTCCATGTATAAAAATGAACTCAGTCATAAAGAATATTGGTGATTTTGTGGAACTCTCTCTGCAAAAACGTGGTGTTTTTCCTTCACCACACAGTAAAAACCTGCTAGTAGACCTAGTATTAGAGAAAATCATAGGACTGACCCTCCTCCAGCATTCTCAGGGGGCCATGGGCCTGAAAAGGGAGAGTGATCAGGGAGAGTTTAGCTAAAATGGTAATTGACTGGAACCTCAATCCAAAACTCTTAAATAATCTGACCCCAAGTTTTGTTAGAGGCTTACAAATGTTTGGTTGGCTTTTTAAATGTTTTTGCATGAGGTGTCCTGAGTTGCTGTGGTGTTAAATCCAATGAAAAGGGTTGTTGTGAACATACTGTCCAGGCTAAACAAAATTGTGAATAACTGGTCTGCACTGTCATCCCAAACATGCAAGTCCTACCAACCTCAAAGGAAAGAAAGTTGTAGAGAGGAAGGTAAGACTTAAAGATAAGAGTTTTGTTTTGTTTTTGAGAGAGAGAGTAAAAAAGAAAAGCTGGATGAACCTGGAATTCTCATCCTTCATTCTGGAGAAACATCCCAACTCATATACAATTGTAAAGGGTAAAACACCTTAGTTTTGTAACAGTGTTAGCAGCTCTCTGTGGCTAATGATCAGGATCTCCCAGGAAAGGAGAATTTTAAAGTCTGTGATTCAGACTCCAAATATCACTAGGCTGAAAACATACTCAATTCTGTGTGTTCTTGTCTTACACTGCAAATGGTTAATAAGAGGAAATACAGCAATTACATACGTATGCACTCTGTAGTGCATCCCTTTTTGTTTGCCCGAGCTCCAGGAGGGCTACAGCAGCCAAGATGGGGCTCATAGAGTATCTTCATGGGTTAAAAATGAAAATTACAGGCAGATAATTATCTTTGGCATAAGGTTACACAAACATGTGCAGCCTGTAGATTAAAAAAAAAAAAAGAAGAAGCATATGGCAGTGTGTACAAAATAAGATGAAAATCAAGTTCTATTTCTTTCTGTCAAAAGTCAGTCTTCTGTTCACATAGCCAAGTCTTCTCTAAGATGTGCTCTGGATATTTGTCCACATTTTGATTTTGTAATACGGTTCACATAGACACGAAAGGACAGAGAACATTTTAAAGGGCACAGGATGTGTGCTGCTTACCGCATCAGAGAGAACACAGAATCATTCTCATACACGTGCTTCTGATGTCTAGGTATTCAAGCAGCCTCAGTGTTTGTCTTCCTATATCGTATTCCTGTTGACATATTATATAGCAAGCCTTTTTGCAGCCAATTATATAACTCTTCTCTTCCCAGATAAATGATGGTCTTATGACACCTAATACAACTACCAGATTTGCAAGTGCAATCCATATCTATTTGAGGCAGATGAAAAGAATGAAGGCAACAAAAGGAGGTTGAAAGCTGGTTAAGTTTTGAAATACAGATTTTAGAAGGACTCAGAAGCTATTTTTCACATTACAGTCCAGTTGAAAGCTGTAAGAGAAAACCAGGCCCATCTATCAAGCACCATCTTAGAATTCTACGTCCCTGTTGAATGCAGCTACAACAATTATAAACTAGAAAAGATAAATCCTTTGCCTGCATATGACAAATCCGAAGGTTTCTGTTCACGGGAAAGTCACATGCCCTTACATGACTAAATGTGTATTTATTTACTTTTAAAAATTAAAAGTGCCTGAAAAAGAATCTGATGAGAAATGATGAAGGTTACAGAAACTCATGGGGAAAAAATGTATTTGGAGGCTCAAAATGGTCTTGATTTTGCTTTGAGAATTTTCCACAGTAGTTTTCTGTCTATGCATTGGAGCTTGAGAACAGATGATTCTGAATGGCTTCTGCCTGATAGGCTGCATAAGACTCCAGGGGATTCAGAAACCCAGTGGGAAAGACAACACAATCTCACAGGATTAAAAATTGCTCTTTTCTTTTCTAGGTGGTGCAGTGATGCTGCTGGTTTATGAATACACCTATTCATGGCTTCAGGAGAACTGGTGATTGCCTACGGTGTATTTTTCCCCCTTGTGAAAGTGGATTTTCATTAGCACCATCAGGAGGCAAGACTATCTATCAGTTAAGCCTATACAATGATAAATTATAATTATACACTTAGATAGAGTTGTAAAGGGTAAAACAGTGTTCAAGAACAAAACCTATTTTGATACTTCAATAGTTATCTCTAGACAAATTGAAACTGTCATTTTAATCATATCCTTAAAACTATGAGGAGGAAATTAATACTGTGAAGCAATGAAATATATAAACTGAATACAGAAAAAATAGCATGGAAATTAGATATATTCCATAAAAAAACAATACAAATTTTATGACCGATGTTCCTCTTATGTGGCTTTGCAATAAAAATTCATTGTACTGATGATGATTTTTTCCTGAAAGGTAAAGAAGTGCTTATAAGTGAAAAAAATATGCCAAAATTTAAAGTTTTATAAGGAACTAAATTCTTCCATAAATATTATTTAATCATATACAAGGAAAATGTTTCTGAAGGGTACTAAAATGGTCTTTTTAAAATTTCATGTTAAAATGTGAATTGTTGGTTTCCTTTGGTAATAATATACATCTCATCTGTATTTTCCTCAACCTACTTTATATTTTGCACTGTTGGTTAAAGCAGGTCATATTTTTAGATTATGATATTTGAAGTCTTTTGTGACAAAGATAAAACATGAAATTATATTAAAACTACTTTTCTTCACATAGTTCCCTTTGAAAATAAGTTTTAGTGCTGAAATATTTTTATGTTAAATCAAAATTTGAACTGCTCCTTAGGCCTGTGTGTGCTGTCTGTGTTTGCATCAGATACCTTTTCTCAGAATTCTTATCTATGCCATTTTTTTAAAAGGATGTTTAGAATAAAACTACATTTCTAGCTTACTAGTTTTAAGTGATGGTTTCAGATGTGAAGTCTATCAACTTCAATGTTAAAATATGTATTATGAAGGAGAAAATGTTTCAAGAGAGAAGTACATTCTTAGCATTTCCAAAAATGCCTGTACTAACATGCACTCAAAAAAAATATTTCCTTGACGTTGATGTAACGAAGCTTAATTTTATATCTGCATCCTGAAGTGATGCTCCTTCAGTAGCTCGAGTCAACAAAGATATCTGTTCTAGATGACACCTGTTCTTACCTATAACCAGAAGATCTGTCTACCATGAAGCTGTATCACTAAAACATTTTGAAAATAAAAAATGAAAGATAACATGGTAGTTATTACTTTTTATTAATTTAGAGCATTTGAAGTATAAAAATAAAGGCTTTTGACATACTGTATATACATACACAGCCTTCACTTGTACATCCTTTCCAACGTGTTCTTTACTTTATATTTCAGCCCAGTACTGAATAAGAGGGTCATTAAAAGTAGGACAAAACAAGAGAAGTAAGGATGTGTCTGCTGTCCAACTGCATTCTATCCTTGCAGGTAACGCTCTGCACCCTTTGAGAGGGAGCACTGCCTCCAGAGGCCCTGAAATTGAACCTGTAACCTCTCCATGTGGGTGAGATGGAAAAGGATCTCTGAAGAGTGCATTTGCCAGGTTAAAAACAACACTTTTGCCCCCTAAGAAACAGAGGAAAAAAGTCAATGTTAACCAATAATAATAATGTTTTAAAAAAATCAAACAACCTCATCTCCCCTCCCACTTTCCTTCTCTCATTTTTAAAAGTAGTTTTAAATCATAGTGTGCTTTGAATAGCAAATTGTATTTGGGCTTTCTCTTATCTTTTAAAATTTACTGCATGTGAATTCACCATTGCTAAGAAAAGGCCTCCAGGGGAGAAAAGAAAGGAAAACTTTTATAGTATTAATATTAGATTTTTAAAGATACAAGAATCAGGAAAAAATTATAAATAGCATATTAACAAGAGACTTCTTAATTTAGATAAGGAAAATAACATTTAGTTGTATTTCCATACAAATTATTGATAGTTTTTAAAGACTCCTAATAGACTCCTAAAAACATCTGATCAGAAATAATTCTGTACCTTGTGTCAGTTTTTCTGCATGGCAGGAGAGTCCTTGTACTGTATGGTTTTAAAGTTTCCACCAAATATCGGACTGGTATTTTGTTCCATTTGGTTTATAGTTCTGTTTTCTCACCAGACTGGGAACTCCAGATGTCAATAGGAGGTTTACAAGATCAAAGGAAGACTATGGCCCTGAGAGTTCATCTGCTCCTTCTGCTTATTCTTCTCCTGAAGTTATAATCCTCTGTTTGTAGCACTGAATTTCAGTTGCTTTAGAAATAAATGCAGTTCAAAGCTCTCTACGAGATATCTGCTGCTTGAAAAAAGCAATTCCTCGAACATAACTTGTGTGTCAGAAATCTGCTTACTGTTTATATCATAGTGATTTGAAAACCTGGCTAATCTAGCCATCTGAGTTTTAAATGAGGCCATGAAACCGATGTGACAGAAGTGGATTGCCCCGTGGGCTGTGCACAGCCCAGACAGGAAGAAATCAAAACCACCTAACATCCATATCTAGTGATGGGCCCTGTTAGTTATTGCACAGAATCAACACCAAAAAAAAGCCCCACAATATATTAATTTTCCAATAGATGAATTGTACCAACGTTTTAAAAACGTATTTTCAAGCCTATATTGCCAAGCAGGAAGAACTTTCTAAACAGAAGAGATTAAAACTGTAGATTTTTCCCCAAGAAAATCAGTTGTTTTAAAATATGAAACATAATCACACGCTCTCTCTCTCACAAACACACACACACACACATATACCCCCTCAGTTCTATTATTAACATTAAAGTGAAAAGAAAATTGGTTTCAAAAGACCCATTAGTTAAACCATGTCCTGTAGCTCCAGAAATGAATAAAAGGAATTTTTAAAAATTAAATAGCATTTGTATTTCTAATACCATCACCAGTTTACCTACACGAGACACATGCTTCTGTACAACAATGTAAACTTCACAGCAAGCCATTTTTACATTCATTAGAGCGGAATTTTCCATTTTCTTTAAATTACAATGTAATTTTGGGCTGAGATTGCTGAACACACAGGTAAGCCAACAATAACAGTACAATTTAGTTTCACAGTGGTTTTTTAACATAAAGTTCATTTTAAGTGTCTTTGCAAAGCATTTCACATTAAACTTAAGTTTCTACGTGACTTCCTTTAGAGCCTCGTTCAGGTATTTCCACCCTCTTGTCTTTATATGCTTGGCATGTGTGTTGATTGGGATACAAAATGGGAGACTGGCTTGTTTTATCTGTGTTTTTGAGTCCTCTGTTGGAGAAAGAAAATGTCCTTCATGAGATGTCGAAGCCTTCACTGCACACACACAATCTGGGGCAAGTCCAGGCCCAGGAGCCTGAGCAGCCCACCACCAAACAGAGACAAAGACGTTGCCGGAAAGTCACCTTTGCAAAAAGAAAGAGAAAAAAAAAGAGAGGTTGGGGGGGTGGGGAGGGGGTTATCCCATGGAATGAAAACACAAATGCACCATCCAGAGTCCATATTTACAAACTAATAGAAAATATAAACATTATTGTATTTGGAACCAAGTCAAAACACCAGGAGGAGCTAAATTCAGATATTGCTTAAGTTATACATATATTTTCCAACAAAATAGGTCATCTGTTAAAGGATCACTCAAGTCAATTATTGATTGGTTTCCTAATGATGAATTAAGGCTTATTTTATTACCTTATTTGATTAGAGGGTGTAGCATAACTTTTTCTATATGTATTTTCTTTTATTGATTTTGCAGAATCTCAACAATTGCACATCTCAGAAGTTCAGGTTGATTTAGAATAAATATACACATGTGGTTTTACCAAAGACTAGTTTTAAAAGTTCCTTAAGCCCTTTGAGGGGTGCAGGTTTCTTCACTACGTTAAAAACAGTGTGTGGGCAACACAAACGTCTCATTCAATCCTTAACATCGCTTTTGTTTTTTAAATCCTAAAGTCATGTCAGGTTTTCTGTCAGAGAGAAGTTATGGCGAGAAATACTTAAGTGTCATCAGCACAAAGGAGGTGAGTCCATAAAGCCAGCTTTCCGGCAAAAGGGTTGGAGGGCAGAGGGGTGGGATCCGAGACCTGGGAAGAGGGGGAGGGTGTGCCGAGAGGGAGACTCCTCGGGTGAAGCTGCCGCAGACGGTGAAGCTGCTGCAGACAGAATCTCCCATCAGAGCGCGGAAGCTGTGACAGAGTGGCTACCTTCTCGGGCTGCCTGCATTCCCTTGAACGCCAGCGACGCGGGAATGTCACAATTGTGGGGGGAAAGTGGGGTGCCACTGGCATGCTGCCACCCGTGTCCAGCAACATAACCAGAAGGAGCAGCGCTGTAGGTCATGTAGGGCGACACTGGGGCCGGGGTAGGGTACGGAGCCATGCTGGATGCTGACACAAAACTGCTTACAGCTGGGAGGCCGTTTGGTGCCTAAAAGGAGTCGGAGAAGAGAAGAGGTGAAAATAATCACACTAGAGTGGTTGATGCTCCACCAGTTCTTAGAAAAACGCAGAATGTAAGTTCTGAGCAGTAACTGACAATATTCTGACTCTACCTTCTAATTTCTTTTTTTCCCCTTAGATTTGACTCTGTTTATATTCTAAATGCATTCAGTCTTGCTACTTAAACGTATTTTTTTCCACAAAGATTTTGAGGAGGCTAAAACCAGAAAATCCACAGGATTTGCTTTTGCTACTTGGAATTATAGGAAGGAAACACGAGGTGAGGAAAGAATGAATTGTGATGAAGTACTCTTAGAATCCGTGCAGCTCTCTGTCCGCCTCTGTCAGCTTCCCCCCACACTCTAGTTCTGTTTGGCGCTTTTGCTGAGATCTTTGTGAAGGGCCTGGTCGGTGTACTTTCATTTCCAGTAAAGAAGGGCAGTGTGTGCTGTCATTTTAGAAACTCAAAATGAGCATGACCTTTGTTAAATAAAACACGGCCATATTTTAAAATATCATGTTGAAAATGCCTGTTGGACAAAGGACATGCAAAGATCAG